AATCGTATGAAAGTTTGGATTTCTTTGTTTTGCCGGTTCTCCTAAGTGCCACCTGGATGACCAGAAAAACAGTAAAAAGGTCTCCCCAGCCAGAGGCTGGAAGAGATGGAGGGCTCTTGTGTGCACTGTCTGGGGCTCACTTGTCCGGTAAGTGTCCAGGCTCCACAGTTGCTCCTCTGGTTTCTCTTGTGTGGTTCCACCTCAGGAGACCCTGGGGTAGAGGTGTGTCTGCTGGGCCCAGCCTTCTCTGGCAGCAGGGAGGTTACGTACCTGGGGGAGATGGGAATTATGAGCACCAGCCCAGAGGGCCCCCAGCTGTGCGAGGGTTGGGTGTGCCTGGGTCCTGGCATATCCAAGACCCGACTTAACGAAGGACAGGCCTGGAGGAGAAAGATTCCCAGAAGGGACGATCAGAATGATGTAAATGCTGTGTAGAGGCTCACCTAACACACCTTAAGATAGACTCTAGGCTAGCTCAGGATGGAGAGGTCGTGACTGGGGTCTGCAGTACCCAGGGCCTGGAAAGGCGTTCTGAGAAGAAGGTGCTGGAGAGCGTGGTCCCAGCGTGGGCCCACATTCCTCTTTTTCACCGTCCTAGAGCAAGTCAGCCACACCTCACCATCCACACGTGTACAGGGCGTGATACTCAGGCCCCACAGAGGGCTAGCTGAGATCACAGGAGATGGGCTCGTCTGGGTGCTGTCTGTCTGCCTCCTGCCCAGAGGCAGAGAAAGCATGGAGCTGTGGGGGAGGGACCACGACGCACAGGAGTCTTCCCATGATTTCTGAAGGGAAGCCACATCGCAGTCTCACAGCTGTCAACTCGGTTGTTGTGAACACACAATTTGTATGTTTGCTCACCTAGGCTGCTATGCAAAATGAAGCTGCATCCTGCCCACAAATGAACACGTATTCCAAACAGCAACAGTGCCCTTTGGGCTTCTGGACACAGTCCTCCTTTACAGATGGCTCAGAAGAGCTGTTCCCCAACCCCAGCCCAGCATGGCCTCTACCCTCCCACATCAAAGAAGGAGGTCCTCACCAACCTTTACAGACCCAGAAACCAAAGATAGAGGACGTCTGTGTTCTTGGGTGAATTCAGGTTATACACGCCTGGCAAGAGTAGCTCATGGGCCAAGCCCCACAGCCACGCTGAGGTGCTCCTGCCACCCCTCCCTCCCCGCACCGCAGTCCCGAGGCTGAGTCCGGTCCTCACCCTCCTCTGGCTTTTCTAGGTGTGAGGGTACAGGTGGGGCAGCCTCGGAACCTCAGTGCTGGAAGAGCCTGACGAGAGTGTCCTGGCTGTTCCTCAGAGCTGGTGCTGCCTCTCAGGTCCCTTCTGGAAGGGAGCTCTGAGAACTGGAGCTGCCCTCTGCAGAAGGAGGCCGGGAGAAGCTGGGCCCCAAGGCCTGGGGAGCTCTGAGCTGGCCTGGGCTGGTCAGCGGCTCTGTGCTCCCTGCCATCCCTGTCCACAGGCTTCTGGATCTCACTGTCAGCACCCAGGGCCACTGATGGGGACCCACTGCCTGGGGCAGGTCTGGGAGGGAAAACCCCTGTAGCAGCTGGGAGTAAACCAGGAACGTGGCGCTAGAAGCAGCCATCGGCGAGGACAGTGCCCCCTACACACAGGGTGGGAAGCAGAGGCCGAGAGGCATGGTGACCTTGGACAGCCTGGTCCTCTGTGCCCCACTGCTGCTCAAGTACCCTCCCTGTCCTGAGCCACAAGCCCTCGGAGGACGCTATCTGGCAGCAGATGGACAGGCTGTAACAGTGTCACCAGTGTTCCCAGGGCATCCATGGGAACCCAAGCCCTGGGCCCCAGATCCCGCCTTACAGGCCTCTCAGCTCCTCCTGCTGCTGGCTCTCAAAGGTGGCGGCCTCCAGCTGTCCCAACCACAGGGACAGCCAAGAGGAGACAATAGTGGAGGCAGGTGTAGGCAGCAGCCGCCTCCTGCTCCGGGCTCAGGGCTATAAATACTCAGGGTTCACGGGGTAAATGCACGAGACATTTACCATAAATTACAGGTGGATGATTGTGGGTCTTTAGGCCCTGAGGCCTCTGGGGGAATATTTGAGTTCTTTAGGGGGCGGGGGAAAGCAGAAGCTAACTTGGTGGGTTTGGGGGCCCCTTTCAGAGTCTGCCTTCTGGCTGGGAGAGGACAGGTGTAGGAAAGGATGGCCGGGGGCCAGGGGCTCTGCTGCCCATCTGGATAGTCAGTCACAGAGGAAGCAAAGGACCAGGCCCAGGTCAAGAGTGACTCAGCCAGATGAAAGGGAGGGCACCCTCACCCCTCTGCTAGGTTATTCCATGAGCATTATTACTTTAGTAATTTAAAAAAATAGAACAGTGATTTTCCAAAGTGTACGCCACTCCTCACCTCTGCAGTGGAGGCAGGTCCTGGCCTATGTCAGTCCAGCAGAAAGTCCTGCCTGAAGCCACGTGGGGTGTTTGGTGGGGGACATGCAGCTCCCCGCGCCTGCTGAGGTGCGACAGCTCCTGCGGCCAGTCTGATGGAAACCAGCAGAACCCCCAGGTCCTCTCCCCACACCTCAACACAGGGGCGGGGTCTGGGGTGTATTGGAAGCTGGTTTACTCTCCGACCAAACCCTCCCACCACCGTTTCCACTCATTTTCTGCAAAACACCAGGGCCTCAGGATCCTGTCCAGTAACCAGGTATGACCAGGTCAGCTTCTAGGAGGAGAAACGGGTGCATCCCAGTTGCCCTGCACATCCCTCCCCCTCCTCCAAAAACTCCTGCACAAACACCAGGCCCCAGGACGACTTCTCATTTAATATTAGAATAATGAAAACCATGGTGGCACAGAACCACGAACTGCATTTTAAATTCCTAGGGCCACTAATGAGCACTGAACTCCTGCTGGAGCTGTTATTAGGACAAACATTCAGAATGGATGGCTGCAGCCACGAAAGGAAGTGGAGCGTGGCCTGCACCACTGCAGCCACAGCTGCCACCTGTCCGGCCGCCACCCTGAGCACCTCAGCTGCACCCAGAGGAGCTGGCACCCATGTGGAATGCAAGAGTGACAGGATAGCACCAGAAAACAAAACAAAAACTTAACTAATGAGGAAAAACTCCTAGAAGGAGACACATTAAATTTTCTTTTCCTTCTTTGACACCCTTCTTCTCTGTCCAAAGGGAGGTTCTTAATTGAAGCCCACAATGGGGAGCGCTCCCTTTCTTTATTATCAAATGGCCTCAGCACACAGGATGCTCTGCTTTTTATCACAGATTAGACCTTCCTTTTTTCCCCGTGGCTCTAGAAAGGATAAGTGATTACAGTTTTGTTATCTTCTGAATTAAAAAAAGGTGAAGTTGACTGGGTCGGCGCTATCTGCACAGCGGTTTGACAATTGGGGCAACAGCATAACTACTGAGCAATTTTTGCACAATTCAAAAGCTACTTTTTTCTTGGCCAAGGAATTAGTCTAACAAACACATCCCACTCTTGCTGAAAATAATTTTCTTTTCCCAACTCTTCTAGGAATAAAACACTTTTAATGTATTTGTCAGGAGTCAACACTTCATTTACTAAGATTAAAGAAGTGACAAAGAGCAATTGAGAAGAGTCCCACATCCATCATGGGCTCATGGTTCTAACTAGAATCAGAAGAAAAACGGAAGAAGCACTGAGAATATGGGAAAACACGTGTTTGCGTGTGTGATACTGTTACAGCTGTTTCACGTTCAGAGTGCTTCGCAGCAGCCCCCGCCTTTAAGCCTGCCTTGACTGGGGCGCCACGAGGCACACACCCCGCCCTGCCCACCATGCTCAGCACCAGCCCTCCAAGGAGGTACCAGAAGGTGACGTTGAAGGCTTTCACCAAAAGCTCCAACAAACAGTGCATTTTACTCCCCCACAAAGCATGACCTAAAATGAAGGACAGGAGGTTCTGCATGTTCAATCTCTAGACCTGGGTAGTGGTTACAAAGGTGTTGTTTCACAATAAAGGGCCAGAGGCCACAAGCACCCCTCTGTCCACCTCACCAGACCTCCTCAAAGCAGACGCCGTGGGACTGCATCCTCACGGGGTTGGTGGGGAGCCACGGGCCCTCATCTGCCGCTGCCCCCCTCACAGCTTGGCCAAGCCTGCTGCCTGGTGTCCCACAGCTCCCAGGGAATCAGCCTCCACCCTGTGCTGGGCATCGGGCTCCGCGGGCATCGGGCTCCTTGGAGCTGGGTCTCATCAGCACTCCCGTTTAGCTCTATTGGTCTCTCCCCAAGTTTGGGGGCCATCTTGGTCCCGCTGGCTCATGGGGGGCAAGTCCCCTGCGGGACCAGCCAGGGCTCTGGAGAATGCCAAGCACCTGGGGACTTTTTCTTGGCTGCCCACTCATCCCTCATTCCCTGGCAACGCATCTGGTGTGTCGCACCTCGACTGGGGTGTCCAGGCCCCTCCAGCCAGGCATACATTCCCCAAACCACAAGGCTCATCAAGGAAGGAAGAGCCCCTGCCTGATAACAGGAGGCCGACCAGAGCAGGCTTTGCTGAGCTTCATCAGTGTCTGCTGGGGTCCAGAGCAGGCTTGCATCCAAGCAAGGCCTCTAGACCATCAGGGGCCCTCAGGGGAGGCAGCTGCGGGGCTAGGGGACGGCGATACCGCTGCACAGAGCTGGCCTCAGTCCTGCCCGTCCTCAGCACTGCCTCTCAGTCCCCTTCCTTCCCTTTAACTGATAACAAGGCGTGTCTGAAGTGCTGGAGGAGCAGGAGAGACACAAGCTTTATTCTCTCCAGACAGACCTCAGGGCAGAGATCCGGAAGGAATGAACACCAAAGAGAATTCACAGAGGACAGGAAGCAGAGGGTGAGCCACTGGCCATGCAGGGCACAGTTCATGCCTCTTTAGGTGTGAAGCTGAGTGTCCAGGACGCATTTAGTTACCTGTGCCTGGATGGAGAAGGGTGCTGAAGGGCTCCAGACCCTCCCCCAGCCCACCCCGCACTTCCCCAGGTCAGCAGTGATTCCTCTCTGGACAGGTGACTTCAGTTTGAGAAGAAGCCCTTGAATAGATGATACTTGCAAAACATTTGAACCCTGCCCTCTTCTGACTTCCCCGCTCCTCCTGCCTCCCCTGTGGGCAGTGAATGCACAGCTGGAGGAAGTGCTGAGTTGTCAGGAATCCTCAGCTCTAACTGGAGAAGGGGCTGGATGCTGAGGGAGGCAGCGCCAGCCACAGAGCGCGGCCAGCCACCCATGGCAAGCAAGCGAGCAGCACCGCTATTTGTTACCGGAGCCCCTCCCATTGTGAAAAGCTGTTCCCCTCAGAGGGTTCCACTCACCCCAAGCAGGGGGACGCAGACAGAGATCAGAGTCGAGGGCACCGAGGGAGACTAGCAGAAAGACAACCTTCCCGTTTAATCATGCAGCTTGAAGCTACCCTACTATTCCCGTACTGATATATCACAACTACATCACACTAGGAGGAAACAGCTGACCCACTGGCTCTTTGTACACCCATGACCAATGTGTCTTTAAGCCAGAAAGGACCCCCCGTCGGCCCCACGCCTCCTCCAAGCAGGATGCACAGAGGACCTGATCGTGACAGCCAGCGAACGGAAGAATCGGGGGATGAGCAAAAACCGGACACGATCTGATCAAGTTACACAGGGCAGTTAGCACTGGGATGGAAATTACTCAGACACACAGAGCCAGATCAAGCGACAACTGTCAGATGAGATCGTTTCAATGAGGATTAAAAGGAAAGCTGCTTAGAACTGATTTTTTTTTTTTCAATCCCTGGCTGAGTATTATGGTCTGGGGGAAAAACAGCAACCACCGATCACCACCACGCGGGAAAGGCCCACTTTTGCATTCCCGACACCGACTGGCAGGACGGCTGCCTCCACACCGCTCACTAACCTGTGGCAAATGGAGGACAGGTCCAGCCCAACCGGAAGTTGGTACACACTCACATCTGAACATTAAATTAGCTGGTTGCATAACCACTGTTTCCTTGTCAGCCTCCCAAGCTTAAAGGCTGGATACGTTTCAGGAATGACAGGTTAATAACTTGGCAATTCGAGTGATTATTAACTCCAGTGTCCACAGATTAATTTGCTCCTTGTGTATTTTGTTGATCTTCCTCAAAGGATTTTCCTTGTCAGACCAGGTGCCATGATGAGCTGCATCTGTGCCTCATTTAGGAGATGCACATGATATTTCTCAGCTCTACCCCATGCTCAACCGTTCAAAACTAAGGAAGGAAAATTACAGCATCAAAAGGGATTAAAACAAGTGATTTGCTGTTTGAACCTTTCATATAGATCTGGAAAACCTATGATTCAGCAAATGGAGAATAACTAAAAGAAATAAAAAATTATTTAGTTGCCAGGGCAATGTGTTCCATAAACGTAAACACTCTAAGGAAACCCATTTCCTACAGGGTGCCTCCAGGTAAGGAAGGCCTAATACATTCTCTTCCATTCCTGTGTTCATGTGCCATCTTTGTATTCCGACTCAGGCCTATTACTTCCTTCTGTGGTCTTTGCAGGGTTAGATTAGAGAGGTAGGGTGTTAATGGACTTGATGAAGATTGAAGACCCACTTTCTCCCCCTGGAGACCAGCCTGATTTGAACAAACTGAGGAGAACAAAGCAGCCCCTTTGTGTCCTTGGAAGGAAACCTGTCCTGTGTGTTTCTGCAGCCAGGTCCGTTCCTCGTGGGGCGGGGGGGGGGCGGGGGGAGGCATCCACAGGCATCCCTGCTTGGGGAGGACACGGCTCCTGTGCCACCTGGGCCCAGCCGAGTCACTCCACACGTGCGCCTCCTTTATTGGTGCTGCCGGTTGGCTGAGTATGAGTTGGAGCCTGGGCTGGAGTGCAGTGAGTTGCCGCTGGGGGCCTGCAGGGCGTGGGGGTCGGGCTGCTGACTGGCTGGGCTAGTGTCCCCTGTCCCCGATTGCTCGCTGTTTTCCTCCTTCTGGTTGCTCTGCTGCTCGGGACACTCAAAGTGGACGCAGTGGAACACCTGGTGAGAGACAGGAGAGACCCGGTGAGTGATGGGTCAGTGTCGGAGCCCAGAGCTGCCATGAGTCGGGACACTGTCCCCACGGGAGTGACGGCAGGTCCTTCCACTCCCTCCCACCCCGCCACTGGCACCGACAGGCAGCAACTAGAGGGTGGTAAGCGCTTTTCAATGAGTCAGCATAAAAGTGAGGGGACCGATGAGTCTAAGAGTTGCAGGCAGCACAGCATGGATTCCTATAAAATGTTCCCACTGGATTTCTCCATTTTGGGTTACTTTTGTCTCATGAGCTTTTCTTTCTTTTTTAATTAATTAATTCTTACATCTGGCAGTTGGGTTAAAAGTCAGTGGGGTTGATGGTGGCAGTGGCTGCATGATTCTGTCAATATACTAAAAAGCACTATGCTTTAAATGGGTGAGTTGTATGACATGTGAATTATACTACCATAAAGTTATTTTCTAAAAAAAGCCTACAGGGCATTACCCCAGGGGAGGACCCAGGCTTATCTCGAAGGATCCAAAGAGCAGTTGCTCACCTCCTCCTGTGCCCTCCGGAGGGGAACAAGTTCTTGGTGCGTGATCATCCGCTGGGCAGCAGTGCTGGGGAGGGAACTTCAGCCTGAGGTGACCTGGGCCAGCCGGGAACACACACCCTCACGTGGAGGAATGGCCCCCGGCAGGAGCCAGGAAAAGCCTGCGTTCCACCGTGACTCACTCAGGAAGCACCACTGAGCAGACAGGGCACCACTCAGAGCTCGGCAAACAAGGGTGAGCCTCGGCCCTGACATTGAGAACACACAGCACGGCTGGGGGTTGGGGGTGAGCCTGCCACGCCCGGAGCAGGAGGTAACTGCTGGTGTGTGAGCCGGGGGCGCGGGGGCAGCCAGAGGAGGGTCTTTAGGGATGCCCCCCCCCCCACAGAAATTCCTCTCTCCACTACCAGCCAAGTCCTCCAGGGGTCCCTGCTCTGTGGTGCCTGTCCTGAGCTCTTTGCACAGGAGAATCACATCCTCTCCTGGGGGCGTCTTCAGTCTGAAGCACACAGATCGACTTTCCAGGGAGCATGCTGGCAGTTTTAGGGGACTCAATTTCCAGATCCTCAAATTCAGTATTTTCTAAAACTGCCTGAGAACATGACTGACTTCACAACACCCTTCCCCACCTCACAGAAGGAAAGCACAGCCCTTGCCTGCCCGTGCTACAGTATGCACTGGGGCACACCGACCTCCCTCCCACGGATGCCAAGCCCTGGATGGGGAGCACCCTCCCATGAGTCATGGGCCCTGATGCCTTCCGGGTCCCCATGAGAGTGAAATTTGGCCTGAGTGAGATGTTCTGAATTCAGAACCGAACTGTATATATGACTCATGTAATTCTTTTAAACGTAACTGCAATTTTCCCAGAATTATAAAAACATTTTCAAAATACACTGGCTAAATCCCATGAATGATTCCACAATTACTTTCAGATTTGGTGTGCCTTATTCAACGAGTTGGTTAAAATATATTTTACCAAATCATGTCATCAAATATGCATTCCTAATAATCCTTATCTTCCATCTTTTAAAATGTTTATTTTTTTCTATCTCATATTAACAAAAATAATTGTATTTAAACTTATGAAGAAATTTTTACTTCTCAACCTTAAAATGTTCAAAAAATTACATTTTTCCCCCAGAGCTCTTTTAGGGGATATGCAAACAAAATGTTTGAAGGCCATTGCTCATAGCACTTAGAAGACTCTAAGCCCTCAATAGAGTCCTTTTAAAAGTTAATAGGCAGGAATTCCCTGGCAGTCCAGTGGTTAGGACTCTGCGCTTTCACTGCCAAGGGTGTGGGTTCGATCCCTGCTCGGGGAACTAAGATCCTGCAAGCCGTGCGGTGCAGCCAACAAGAAAAAAGAAAAGTTAATAGGCAGACTTGCAGCCACATGGATAGATCTAGAGATAATCATCTGTGGTGCCTGTCCTGAGCTCTTTGCACAGGAGAATCACATCCTCTCCTGGGGGCGTCTTCAGTCTGAAGCACACAGATCGACTTTCCAGGGAGCATGCTGGCAGTTTTAGGGGACTCAATTTCCAGATCCTCAAATTCAGTATTTTCTAAAACTGCCTGAGAACATGACTGACTTCACAACACCCTTCCCCACCTCACAGAAGGAAAGCACAGCCCTTGCCTGCCCGTGCTACAGTATGCACTGGGGCACACCGACCTCCCTCCCACGGATGCCAAGCCCTGGATGGGGAGCACCCTCCCATGAGTCATGGGCCCTGATGCCTTCCGGGTCCCCATGAGAGTGAAATTTGGCCTGAGTGAGATGTTCTGAATTCAGAACCGAACTGTATATATGACTCATGTAATTCTTTTAAACGTAACTGCAATTTTCCCAGAATTATAAAAACATTTTCAAAATACACTGGCTAAATCCCATGAATGATTCCACAATTACTTTCAGATTTGGTGTGCCTTATTCAACGAGTTGGTTAAAATATATTTTACCAAATCATGTCATCAAATATGCATTCCTAATAATCCTTATCTTCCATCTTTTAAAATGTTTATTTTTTTCTATCTCATATTAACAAAAATAATTGTATTTAAACTTATGAAGAAATTTTTACTTCTCAACCTTAAAATGTTCAAAAAATTACATTTTTCCCCCAGAGCTCTTTTAGGGGATATGCAAACAAAATGTTTGAAGGCCATTGCTCATAGCACTTAGAAGACTCTAAGCCCTCAATAGAGTCCTTTTAAAAGTTAATAGGCAGGAATTCCCTGGCAGTCCAGTGGTTAGGACTCTGCGCTTTCACTGCCAAGGGTGTGGGTTCGATCCCTGCTCGGGGAACTAAGATCCTGCAAGCCGTGCGGTGCAGCCAACAAGAAAAAAGAAAAGTTAATAGGCAGACTTGCAGCCACATGGATAGATCTAGAGATAATCATACTAAGTGAAGTCAGTCAGATAATTACCATATGATATCACTTATATGTGGGATCTAAAGTACGATACAAATCAACATATCTATGAAACAAAAACAGGCTCACAGACATAGAGAACAGACTTGCGGTTGCCAAGGTGAGGGGGGTGTATGGCAGAGGGAAGCATTGGGAGTCTGGGATGAGCAGATGCAAACTATTACGTATAGGATGGATAACAACAAGGTCCTACTGTATAGCCCAGGGAACTGTATTTAATATCCTGTGACTGACCGTAATGGAAAAGAATATGAAAAAGAATATATAGATGTATGACTCAGTCATTTTGCTGAACAGAATAAACGCACATTGTAAATCAACTATACTTCAATAAAATTAAAAGAAACTTAATAGGCAGGACCTGGAGGGAAGGCGAGGACATTTTAGGGTTAGAAGTGTTCCAGGCAAGGGGAATAATATGGGTGAAGACCTTGGGAGGAAAGAGCCAAGTGATGTCTGAGAAGATCTGAGCGGCAAACTGTGAGGAGAGGGGAAAGTCGGCAGCAGCGCCACTGAGAGCTTTGGAGCAGAAACATTCTATGATCTGCTGGAATAAGATTTAGGGGTGAGTGCCAGTTCCTGAGGGGCCTGATGGCACAAGACAGTCTTGTGGTAGGCCAGTAACATGACAGGAACTGAGGCTGAGGGAGCCGGAGGCCACCAGTGGCTGGGGGACCAGGAGGCAGAACCAGCACCGTGGACAAATACCTGGTAGGGCCCCGGCTCTCCTACCGGTGCTACCGTATCCCAAGGGTTTTCTCCCTTTGGCGTCCAGACTTCTAAGCCAGCCCTAGATAAGTAAGATGATGCAAATTGTTGTAAAGCTGTCATCGAACTTAGGCGCAAATGCTGAGGCTAAACTGTAAGCATGTAACTGGCGTGTAGTGATGTGCTTGGAAAGGACTGGTGGGTGCCTGGGCCTGCGTGGACAGCTGTGAGAGGCAAGCCATGTGGCACAGGGCCAGGGCCAGGCTCCGAGCCCTGGCCACCCACTGCTCCCAGGAGAGCTCAACCCTCACTCTCCTTGGGTCGGGCCCACCCTTTCCTTCCGAGTGGCCTGCTAGCTCAGAGGACCTACTGAACTTGGATCTGCCCATGTTTCCTGAGTCCTGGATAAGGGCCTGTCTTTAGAGGATAAGGCACTGGTACCCCGGGAGTGGGCAGGATGCAGCCAGAGCTGGACACCTGCCACTCTCCCTGAGAAAGGACCAGGCAGAGGAGACCGCAGGGGGCTCAGGAAGTGCAGAGAGCCAGGGGGACACGGCTGCCCCTGCTTCCTCCTGTGAACTCTACAGCCTCCACAGCTCGAGCACACGCACCGTGCACACCCACACCACACACACAGGCACACGTGCACTATGCACGCATACACGTGGCACCCTTATTCTGCAGAATCAGGTTCACGGAGAAGACAAATGTAATATCAACTGTGAAATTATACTTAAAATATAAATTCCATGCTTACCTTCCTGCATCACTATTTCTTCCATATTCCCACTTCAATTCATTTATCTACCACTGTTTCAAATTTCACCTTTCAAACTAATATGAAGCCCGAGACCACGCGTCCTCTTTGTATGGGCAGAGTGTATTTTCTCTTAGAGTGAGCAGATTTCTCCCCTTAAAGCTCAGGCTGGTGCTGCTTCCTGTGGACCCGAGTCAGCCCCCAGTCCCTCCTTCCTTTCCTTTTCTTTCCTTTCTCCCTCCCTTTTATATCAAATCTCTCCCCTTGGGCCCACCTGCAGGTGCTTACCTGTCAACAGCCATAGGGGAGGGCCTTTTCTGGGGATTTAAAACCTGTCTGGGCCGTCAGCTCTCACCTGGGCTACTCAGGGTAAATTTGAAAATCCTCTTCTAAGTAGCAGCTATTAATACCTCTTCTCCATCAGCTCCATATTCTTTGAGCTTCTGAAGTGACAGGACCACCTTCTGGTGGGTTATTGACAGTCTCTTGCTTTAGGAGCACCCGTCTTTCCAAGCACGGGGTGGGGCCATGGAGACAACCCCCCAGAACACATCTTGGCTTCCGCA